ACCCTGAAACAACCTCTGGGCTGATCTAAGTCAGGGCACGACTAACTCACAGATAGAACCCTGAAACAACCTCTGGGCTGATCTAAGTCAGGGCAGGACTAACTCACAGATCGAAACGTGAAACAACGTCTGGGTTGATCTAAGTCAGGACACAGCTAATTGAGAGATTGAATTGGAATTTAGCCCCATTTTCCATGATGCGCGAGGAAGTGTATATTATGTTACTGGAATATGGGAAAAAGAGAATTGTCACATCCCACATGGTGAAACATGAGCATTCTCACCAGTCCTCCTCCCACTAGCCACAAGTAGAACTACTTGGTATTTCTTGTCTATTATTTTACTGGAATCAGTCACTGATATACGTGTCTCTTACCATTGACTATCAGGAAGCCAGAAGTGATGTCTGCATCAGATCAATATCTACGAGGAAGCTGGCTAGAACACTGGGAACACCAGCTTGGTAAGTTAAAGAAACCTGATGCGTACACTTGTCTGTGTTGATGAAAACAAGCTGCGCAAACACCGGTTCGTATACTTACAACTCTAAGCAAATACCACGCACACAAGCGGAGCAACAGCACATGCTATAAATGTACTTTCTTAAAAGACACGTGATTTTGCTACGAACTTAAGAGCACCAGATGGAGGCAAATATCAAGCAAACGAGCCGACGAACACGACGTGCTTAATTAATGCGCTTCCGAATGTTTGTCCATAAAGTGTTTATCCGATTGTTTTTTTTAGTGTCGAACGAGAGAGGCCAGCGCAGATTGTCATTCGACTTACGACAGACTAAGCTTCAAACGTTTACAGGTGACTAAGAAAACTATAACTACAGTCTAACGACCATCAAGAAATTAGAATTCGTAGAGGATTCTAGCGTAGTGGTGTCAAGGTGTAAAAAGGCGGCCAAAACCCTACTTGTTTTATGTATTGAATAAAGAGGGACCTGAAGGGATGAAATGTGACCTGGGATTCGCTTTCTGGGGCTGGGAAAATGGGATTTTATGCACTCGGTATGAGATTCACGAACAAACAAAAACATGCTCTCATTATTCCATGAGGATGGACTAATTAGTCCGAAAGTTTAAGATTTGAGCAAAACATAGGCTGGGACTATGGGATTTGGTCAAAATGAGGGCTGGGAAATGGGATTAGGACCCCATCCAGGACCCTCAATAAATTGCGCTCTGCCAATCAAAAACCAGAGTGGACCCTATGATTTATTTTTATTCAGGGCATAGTGGTCCAGTTCGTTCGATCTACGTCCAAGACAGCGAGCACTTTTTTCTTTCTGCTAGTAAAGATAAGACCGTCAAACTATGGTCTCTGAGTAACCATGGCGATGGGACAGCGCAGTCGGCCAGTTCTTGGACTTACCAACGCCATTCGCGTGGAGTGTTTACTGTAGATATGATAGAATCTGTGCGTCAAGCAGTCTCCTGTGATGGCTCTGTCCATGTAAGTGTTTATCCAGATCACCTCTATCCACATACCAATGTTGTCGCAAGGAGTGCAGGACAGGGTAGGGTAGGGTAAGGCAGGACAGGCAGGGTAGTGTAGTGTAGGGTAAGGCAGGATAGGGTAGGGTAGTGTAGGGTGGGGCAGAGCATAGCAGGGTAGGGTAGGGTGACACAGGACAGGTGGGGTAGTGTAGAGTAAGCTAAAGCAGGACAAGTAGTGTAGGGTAAGGTAGGATCGGGTAGGGTGGGGCAGGGTAGCACAGGGGTTAAGGAAGAAGCTCTCATGTTATAACCACCCATTTGGCTGTTATTTTGCTCCATTCGAGATGATACATATCATCCAAAAACCCTTGCTCTCCCTCCTGGGTCTGGTTGCATAAAGCTACACGTATATGAGAGCCATATGCAACTGGGCCCAGGTCTTTCTGTTATGTAAGGGTCCAATGTCATCAATCTCGTTCACTCTCTCTCTCTCGGTTTTAGGTCTGGGATCCTGTAAATGGTAGCACCATAACCATTCTGGAACCCAACAAGAACAGTTCTTTGGTTGCCATGGCAGCCATGCCAGCACCCAGTCAGTCTGTTGTTGTCGCTACGTCAGAAGCCACTGCAAGGTACGAAAAAACGACATTAAAATACAAGAGCGACGACTTAAAGCGGAAAAACTTGAAACGTGCTTGAATTTTCCTTCTTTAAATTGTTATCTGTTGTACCCAGTGCATGTTTTATATAAATGGTGTGTCTATCCGACACACCATTAATAACCCTCTGCGTAGGCGTTGGGCTCAAATTTCATTGACTTCAAAGATGCAAAAAAATCGATTAAAAATGGGAATAAAATGAACTCGTGTCAAGATCTTTTTTTTTTTTTTTTTTTACTGTAACATCAACAATTTGTTTACTCCTTGCTGTGATCTTATGAATTTTTTTCAAGCAGAAATTATCAAGAACTCGTAAGCATAGGAAGATAAACACTTCCTATTTTCTTTTGGAAAAGAATAGGAATGATATGTACTTATTGACTGAGTGGGAGGGCCGTACGGGAAAATCTTTGGCTCGAGGTGATGCCGTACGGACCGAGCGCATATATCATATTAATTTATCATATGACCCTCACGAAAAGAAATATAATGAAAGAAAATAAAGAAAATACGGTCGCAGGTTCGAGAATCCGGACGGCCCTGCTCACGCCATTTTCCCGAAGGTTTTTCTAAGAGCGCGCGCCCGGGCAGATACGGGTCATATGATAAGATAAATTATTTTACTTTGTGCAGTATAACTATTTGGTTTATTCGCAAGTTGGTACTGTTTAACAGCTTTTATACCGAAAAATACTAGCTATTTTCCTATTTATTATTTCATCAAAAAAGGGACGATTGGAGACTTGATCAAAGTTCGCGCAAGCGCAGTTTGACCGTGATATGAATGACCAAGATAGTCTGGCGAAAAAAATGAACAATCACTTAACGACATAGAGGAACAACCTCTTAACTTGTGATTATCTAAGCTATTATCTTCTATAGTTTTAATAGAGCTCCACTTAAGCTAGATAATAAGACCAAAGCTCAGTACAGTCTTTTTTTACTATCAGTAACATCCTGTATTCTTCCGTCTTGCCGTAGTTTTTAATCGCTTGTTTTTTAATCCCTCTCTTTTATTGTTGCGGTTACTAAAGTACATTCGATTTTGTTTGTTTGAAAGAGATAATTCCGTAGCTTTTTGAGAACACTTAGTTGACGATCAATTGAAGGAAATTAAAAAAAAGACAAACACCAAATGTGAGTGTACTGTATTATGTGATTATAACGTGTTAGTCATCCATGAACCGTTTGTTTGAAACGTGTAAGAAGACCCGAACAGCAAACACTTGCAAGTTTTCTTTCGTTCCAGTGGACTCAGGGGGCAAAGTATCAGAAATTTGTTGAAATAATGAGACAAATTTGGCCATGCAACACTATTGCAAAACTATACCGAGAGAAGATTTGACGATATTGCACCGTATCCAGGCGATTTATTTGTTTTCGATATACCAAAAAACTGCAAATGAAAAACAATCAAATACGCACGTACACAGTGTTTCACGGTAACCTAGGGACGTTAATGCCATTTTGTATTCATGGCAATAGAAAAGGTTATTTCTTAAAACATAAACAAAAGCAACCGTTTTGAATGTAGTTGCTCATTTTGTTCTTTCTTTTCTAAGTTTCTAATTTAGTTATCATTTGCGAAAGGAAAAGTCAAAATCGCCGTGAACAATTTATGTTGTTCAATGTCGGGGTAACAGAAAAGCGCGCCCTTTCTCCATGGCTTAAACTGTGGATTTCGCAGAAACTGACTTTCGCGCCAAAAAACGCGCGTGGGCCCCCTAAAGCTAACTACGCAACTGTCTGTGCAAAATCCGATAAATCATATTGAGGTCATGAATAAAGTATCTTCCAGAACCAGAAACCTTGATACAAAATTCAATTAGTGCGTTATTCTTAGATACGTGCTGACAAATTGCTAAACTAATTTTTTTATCTTAGATTTATTGATGTCCGCCAGTCGCGTTTCGTTCAAGAATGGAAAACAACGACGAGCAGCGCGCCAGGTGAGAGGGCACAGAATTAACTAGGAAGATTAAGAGATAATAACTAATTTTATCTCCATAAGAAACTGAAAATACAATTTATATTTTAGAAAGCGATGTTTTTGTGAGCTTTGTCTCGAATCGATTTCCCGATTAAACAATCAAAAATTTACCAAAGCCAATTCATCCATTCACAGTGCGGTTTGAATGTGTCACGTGCATCATAAGTTTCACATTCGCGTTTTGTTTTTATGGGCCCAGAAGAACTTGTCGAAATTACTTATTGCAGAGAAGGGAATCATGTCTTTTCGACCACTTACCAAAGGATCTCGACCTTCCTTGGCCCCCTCCCCCCC